GAGAGGTGGCCTGCAGCCACCCCAAATTTGCTGTAGCCTCCCCACTCCCACTGCCCACCCCACCTGCCCTGAGCACAGCCAAATCCAGGGGGCACATGCCTCCCATGCCTCCCTCAGGGGTGCATGCAGCCCCTGCCCATAGCTCCATCCCACACCTTACCCTGCCCCTGCCATCCCTCATCAAAGGGGCCTTGATCTGCCCCCCCCCCCATTTCTGCCACAGACTTACCAGCCAGATGTTACTCTCCACACTGTTGGGCTGCACTCCTGGCCGTGTACATGCTGCAACTGCGCACACGCACAGGGCATTTATCGATAACGTTATCAGCCACATCGGCCAAAAATAGCCGATTGCCGATAATGTCAATTTTTCCTTTTATCGGTGCAGATACAATATGGACCAAAATAGTGTACCTCTACTGAATTTTTTTAAGTAACATTTCAGTCTTCCTCACTATTTGAAACTGTTATTCTTCCTTAATTGGTGCTCATCACACTCAAGACTCTTTCATTTAAACTAGTGACATCATATTTAATAATTAGTATTTGTGTTGACATTTGCCTCAAAATACAGTTGGTGAGTTGTATGATCACCAGTAATTGTTCTTTATAAAGATAAGATTATATTTAAATTACATCCTAAGTTCCTTCTGAAATCAGCTTCAGTTTGATTTGAAACAGTTAATTAACTGGTCTTCCTAAAACAAAATTTGTGTAAAGGTAATGAACCTTACACAAATGCAAACATCCTTTGGGTTGATTCTTTCTACTTTTGTAGAATGGGGTCATTTGGAGTTCTCCTGCACCCTCTCTGAGTTGCTGAAGGACCAAAGGGACAGGCATTCAAACTAGAAGCTGGTATCAGATATTTGGTTAGCCCAAAATGTAGCTAAACCCTACCAGAGTGTATGCAGGCTCACCATTGTCCTTTTTATGCCGCTTGAAAATCAGTAGCATAAAGCTTCTTTAATTCTATTATGTGCATCAGTATTAACTTTTATCCTGTTGTGCAGGCAGTTGTTCACACATCAGACAGCTATTTTGGCAGGGCTGTACTACAGTTGTTTTGACTACTCCATTTCTGACATGCTGTTTGGGTGGTACCAGAAGTGAAACATATGAAAGTAAGTATTCCATAACAGAGATCAACTACTGAAAATAGAGGGTTTTGAGATGTAAGTGGTTGTTGTTGTCCCCCAACTCCCCATACCCTGCTTCTCTTCTACTGCTTTGTTTGAACATGATGGATGTTCCCCCTCCCCTTTAAATACACTTGGTATAGATCGGGGAGGAGCTTGTGGACAACAGGGAAGAAATACAAAGGATACTGTTTTCTAAAGCATTCAAACTGTTGACACACAGAGCATGTGAATGAAGAGTGAGATTCATATGTAATATATAAAGGCAGATCTGGGAGGGGATAGTGTTTGCATCCTCTTCTATTCCTCTTCCGTTCCCAACAGCTGCAAGAGTTGAAGGTCCAAAGCTGTTGGAGCTTGACTGCCCAGCCCCTCTCCCCAAGCTGGGTGGACAGCCAGAAGCACCTGCTACATCTTGCTAGCCCTGGAGACCAAGTGTCTGATCCTGATGGCATCCCTCCTTTCCAAAATTCTAGATCTGCTGTTGGTATCATAGGTTACAGTGGCACAGAAGATGAGAGTTCACCATGGGCTACCCACATCTGTATTTATAAGGGTCAAACAGAAAATAATGCTTCCTAATTTTTCTCCCCTAAGCAGGTTATTGATATGGAGGGCATTCTGGTTGTCTTCTTGGCTAAAGGTGCCCCTGAAGAAACAGAAACAATTCATGCAAAGAGTCTGTCGCAACAGAAACATCTGCAATGCTGCTTTTGCACAATGCTCACCTACACACCAGCTTGTGCACCACAAAAGGCAATTTAATTCTTTGGGTGGGCTGTGTTCTGACATCTTCTGTACAGTTCAAATGATGGGTGGATTACTAAGATGATGTTTTTAGGATGACAGCAAAGTTATGGAGGCTGTTGACAATGGGTGCACCATAAGGACAGACTTTCACAATGTTAGGATATAGGATCATTTTCACCAATGGAAAAAGACCCCGATACAGAAGGAAACTGTTGAAAAACAGCTGCATATTTAGTGATGATATATAAATTTCTGTACAAGTTTATTTTTTCAATAATTTGAGGCCAAGAAAAAAATGTCATTTTCTGACTGTCCCTTGTCTATCTAGTTGCTTGCCAGGATTTACAGCCTGTGTTCAGTTCCATGTTATCACAACTACACTGCTATCCACAGCAAGGTTAGCCGGTTAAATGCTAGCTCAGAAAAGACTCTCCAAATTCTTCATGGCTTAGATCAGTTGTGCTCAAACCCTGGCTCGCAGGCCAGATCTAGCCAATGGAGCTTCGTCATCTGGCCTCCAGAGGTCCCCACAAGTCCAGAAGTTCAGTGGTGGCAATTAAAGCTGCCACCTCTCCCTTGCTACCGAGTTTCCAAGCCCTGTAGCCAAATGACATGGCCCTGTGTGCTGGACCAGGCTGGAGCCAGGGCAGCGTCCCCATGGAATGATCCCATGCGCTGGATCCAGCTTGCAAACTAACTCCCACCACTCATCCAGACCACAGCTCAGAAAGTTGGGCATCACTGATTTAGACAAACATGTTTCAAAGAACTCTCCATTGCAGCAGATCAGTAACTTTCTTTTCAAACATATTTAACAGCCATTTCAAAAGCTTGCAGTGTTGCTGGTACGTGCCCAGTCCTATTTTACTTTACCTGTGGGACAGTCTATCTTATTAAGTGTTAACTATAAAATGCTGTATTAATAAATGTTTGTATATCCACACTTAAGGTGGAGACTGCTGGCTTAAACTTCTCAGACCTGATGAAGCATGTCTTGCATTCAAAAGCTTGTCTAATTCAATCCAATATGCATTTAGTCCAATAAAATAAATCAACCTAGGAAATCCTTGCCCCTAAAAACAAAGCAACTCCTCCTGAACTGATGTAGTTATTTCTCTAAATTATGCCTAAAAACGCAGGTTATGTTCTGAGAAGGTCGTTATAATTGGTAGAAGTGAGCTATTGAGACAATATAAGGAATGAACTTTGGCAACAAAAAGCTAATTAAGAATGCCTATTGAACTGTTTACATTAGAGAGAAACAGCAGAAAAATGGATAATGGAAAGAGT